CCCCCCCCTCTGCTGCCGCGCTCCACCCCCCCATCCGCTGCCGGTTATCCTGGGTGATGCTGTTCCCCCTGCGGGCTCAGGACCAGCCCAGTGGCTTTTTTTTAGTGTTAACAGAGGAGAGATGGGCATTGTCCTACTTGCTGATTCCTCCTCTCTCTAAAGGCAGAAGTGATGTGTATTACATCACTTCCGCCTTTAGCTGTAATTTCTCTGGCTGCTAAAGTTACCTTTTTTTTTAAAGGTGGTATCCACAATAAAAGTACACCAACAAATCCATTGTTGGCGTTATCAGAATTGTTGTGATCCGCAGGTGCATGACCACCTTCCTTCCTCTTGCAATGGGAAGCTGGCTTGCAGCTGCTCCCTTCTGATGCATTGCCTGATACTCCCGCCTGAAGTGCTGTTCGTGTGCTGATGCCTCTTGGGATGTGTTGCATATGCTAGAAGGCTGCAGGGATGGGTATTACACGTTTAGCCTAGTCATGATGGAGGCATGGGTAGGGCTGGACTGGAAAGTAAAAAGGTAAGTCAACTCTTTTTTTTTTATTTCAACATTACGCAGGCGGAAGAAATTTTAAAGATATAAACTTTACTCGTCTTCAAAATGACAACAAAGACCTTTAGAAATATTTAGTAATGACCATCTACAAACACATACTTCTAGATCAGTGCTTCTTAAAGTGTGGGTCGCGACCCCATGTGGGGTCCCGCAAGTTAACAGGGGGGTCGCGATCCGAGTCCCCGGCCAGGACCGCCATCAGGGGCGTATGGCCGGTACTTGTGTGAGGTGCCCAGGCGGCCAAGTTCCGACCGATGTTGGGGTCCCCTAAAAATTTCCTCGGCCAAAAAGGGGTCACGAGTGGAGAAAGTTTAAGAAGGCCTGTTCTAGATAATAACCAGCTATGTATTATTTGCAAAACATTTCTTACCCGGTCTTCGCACAGTGGCAGGTTACTAGATCTCCCTCTACTTCCTGGAACTCTGACCCATGTGACTAGGACATGTGACCATGCACATCTCAGGGGAGGAAAATACCTTTCCCTGAGAGCTCATGAGATTACAGATGAGATTTCCCAGCAATGCTCTGCTGATGTAACTTTCCCAGGATGCAACGCTTGTGCACATTAATCATCTCTGCCGAAGTGGACCAGGAAGTGAAAAAAAGATTAAATAAAATCATGTTTGTTTCGCTAATGTAAGATTTCATATCGGCATGCAGAGCTGCATGCTGATGTAATTTTTAGTGAAAGGGGGTAAAGGTCCACTGTGTGAATGATTTCTTTAACATGTACATGCTTTTCTTTCTGCATTGCTGTGTTACTCAATGGCTGTTCCTTACTGCTTATTTTCCCGATGCATATCTTTGTCAGTTGAAAACCATGCACTCCGTATGTGGCTGATAACTTACCCCCGAGCTAGACAAATCCCAGAAGCCAGGTGGTCAATGCAGCTGGTCAAAATTATAGCTGGCCCATACATTTTTGAGGTTTTCTCTAATTGTCAATGCAGCTGTCTCCTAAAAATTAAAATAATTATCGCTGCCTCATGGCTTGGACCAACTGACTCCAGAATTCCATGTTAATTTGGAAAGAATGTTTAGCATTTGTGACTAAGATCCTGTGATTGCCCTATGGCTAGGAAGCTGCATATTTTCACATTGCCATGCAGACTGTTTGGTTTTCTAGAGAAGGAAATGACATCCCTGCCTCCAAAAAGTTTGGTTCCATTTGTTACAGTTGAGAGAATGCCATCCTGCTTTTTTTCCCCTCCATATGAATTTGATCTCTAAGCAGACATATACAGTATATATTTCTGTGTAATCATTTACAATAAACACCAAACCTGTTAGGTCAAGTGTAGTATTTGGAGAAATGAAAACAAGTGCATTTCTTGATTTGACAGCACTTGCTAAATGTTGACGTTCCATTAAGAGGGGTGGTTGGCTGTCACCAATGTCTGAGCAGTCGTTCACCAGGTAGTGATTAATGCGTCATCTCTGTACAGACAGTTGAATGAAAAAACTTTTCAACTCAAACAGTAGACACATGAATACTATGCGATTCACTAAGATCAATTACTACTTTCAGACCTTGATGGACTTTAGAGGTACCTAATAAGTCCCTTAATTAAACACAGGGCTGGATTTCCCACAAGGCCCAGCCTTGGGGCAGCAGAGAGTAGAGTGGCAGCAGGGGTGTGGAATGACTATCTCCCGATGCCCAGGACATGCAGTTACGGGCGCTGGGCGGGTAGTTGTTTTCTACATTTAGCCCTGCTTTGGTCTAGCAAAGCTAAATGTACAGCGTCTATCTCCCACCTTGACTGCCTTTTAGGCGTTCCCTAAAGACTCATCTCTTCAGGGAAGCCTATCCCACCTCAACCTAACCACTGAACCTTCACATTCTCACATAATTCATTCCCACAGCTACCTCATGTATCATTTCCCCCTCCTCTTTTAGATTGTAAGCCCTCAGGGGTAGGGCCCTCCTTACCATCTTGTCTTGAATTGTATTGTAACTGTAATGTCTTCCTTATATTGTAAAGCGCTGCGCAAACTGTTGGCGCTATATAAATACTATGTAATAATAATATCTGCCCACCTGAGAACACCTTTTTTAGTTTTTTTTGTAACAGGGTTTTCAGAGCTAAATGTATTTGTATAAGGCCAGAGTAGAATATTCATGGTGTCACAATTACTCTATATCAGTAACTGCAACTAAACAAAATGCCTGCAGGCGGTTCACTGACACTTTGACGTGCTCCAATTAGACGGATTATTTCCACGGTAGACTGTGTAATAATCTTTTAATGAAAAGGGAGACAATCTCTAGCAGACTGGCTCATTAGCTGAATTGGTTTGGTTGCATGTCCATTTACAGTAATACATTAGTAGACCTTTTCAGGAAACTCATATTTAAAGCTGAAGGGATAACATTAATTTACCCTTGCATTGAGTTCCTTTCCCCACTACAAGGGCTTATGGCTCATTATGCCTAGGGGATGATAACTAAGTTGCTATACGTGTCTTATTCCTCTTTCTCACAGGCTTTCTCCTCTTCGAGCAACCGGGCCTCCAAGCTTCTTCCTTTTGCTGACAGACTGGTAATAGCTCTCTATCATCCTATACAATGAAGAACCAGCAGGTCTGCATTGTATGGGAGGACACCGAGGGCCCATAGACATTCCAGAGCGTCAGACAATGGGCGAGAGCACCGGCTACTGCGGGAGCAAGGAATTTTATTACCTTATTCCTGAGGCAAAACAACCATTTAACTGTTGCAGTGGGGAGGTGGACACAATGTAAGGATACATGAAGTTCAGCTTTAAAGCAGAATTGCAGTGAACACGAAGTAAAGGAGGGTTATAACCCCTCCCAGCTTTTTGTTTTGCAATCTGTGTCCCATTGCAACTGATTCCACTCACTTCTGGTCCAGTAGCCACAACAGAAAGGGAGAGAAATCCTTGGTCAATAGAGTCACCATAACCAGCGTCCCCTTTGGAAGATATCCCAATTCTGACAGCCCAAAATGTAGGGTTTTCTCTAACTTTAAGCGATGGCATTCACCTGGACTAATCGAGTGGGTGAATCTCCTTAACATGAAAACAAACGACAGTAAAATCCTTACTGGTGTTATAATCCCTTTCCACTTCAAGATAAAAATAAAAAAGTTTTGCCTTTTAGATGCACTATACGATGCATGTTTTTTAAATGCCGTTATAACTTGTATGTTTTCTTTCCTAGGCCACGGTATGAATGTGCATATGTTGACAAGTTCAGACAGTTGGAATCTCAAGAACTGCAGATGTACCGCAGCACTGGTAATAAAGCAGGGGTTTTGTTTCTTGTTCCTTTTTTTTTTCTTCTCTACTTTGTCATTTTCAGTAATCAACAGTAAATGCCATTTTCTTGACTTTTCAGGTTTTTGTGAAATTGAAATTGTGTCAATCTGTAATCTGTTAGTAGAAAAAAAATACACATGATATAAAAGGTCTGATGATGGCACTTTTTACGCATTGGGGGAAATATACTTTCTTGCTGGCTGAGGTAGTACAAAACGTGGACAAGACATACTTTAGTTTGAGTAGATGAAATACATTTACCACTGTTCTTTCGGTTTAGTAGATCTTGCGTTCTGGTGGTGAAATAAAGTTAACTTACCTATCACGACATCTTTGGTGTTGCCCATAAAATATGCTGATATAGTGATACTTTTGTTCTAAATGTATATGTATAGCCAAAACTTGTTTTCATTTTGTAAAGATTTGGTTAAAATCTTTAAAGACAGGTTAAAAACACCTATCAGGTTGTCTCTTGTCCATTGAGTGACACAGGTAACCTTAAACCCTTGGGTTATACTGTTGCCTACTGGAGGACTGGACACTGGCAAACAAAAACTTTTTTTGTTGTTGCTTGGCTCAAAATCCAAAGTCTGGGCTCAATCTGGTATTTCAAGCCTGCCAAATCCTCAGTTAAGTCATCCTCTGCATGTTGGTTCAGCTCCACTTTCTGAATTGGGGAGGTGGAGAAATCTGTTGACCTTTTGTGGATGCTTGGGCAGCTTGAGATCCCAAATGCCTGGATGCAAAATGTGGTGTCCCTGGACTACAAACTGGAAGTTGCAAAATGTGCTGTCCCTGGACTACAAACTGGTGTTTCATTACATGCCTCGTCTTCTCATTTTAACTTCCAACTTTACTATGTTTTTGCACGCAGAATAGCAGATCTTCTCTGATGATCTCCATCAGTGTGTAATTGCCTCAGTTCCTGTGGCAGCATTGTTCCGGGGATTTAACACCAATGTTCACTGTTCTCAAACCAAAGGGAGGGGGTGTTCACCTTATCTTGGATTTCAAGGCTCTATCTACATAAAAATTCAACAGTTGAGAAATCGAATCAACCAGGCTGGTCACTGCCCTCCCACCAAAAATGTTTCCTGAGTTCCATGAACATCAAGATGGTTAATTGCATGTACCCATGTTTCCAATTCATCCAAAATTCCTAGGTTTTGCAATGGGGACCCTACACTATCAGTTTGTGTTCTTTCCCCTGCACCTCAGGTGTTCACCAAGGTGCTGGCCCCAGTGTTACCTCTGCGTTCTGTGACATCTCCATTCTTTTTTGGTAATTCCAGATACATTCTTGGTTACTAAACGATTTTAGTCTATCTGTCCTTTTCCAGAAGATTTTATTTAAAAATGGTCTATTCCTCTTGAAGTTGATCCTTTAATTTTTCGCCTTGTTGACTGTTGTTGACCTGGTTGACGCACCTTTTATTTAAGGATTCTACTGACAAAATAATTGGAGAATCTTTCTTTCTCCTTCAATTTATTTAATTGCGGGTCGGCGGGACACCAATGCAAAAAGGGACTTATGCTTTGTCCTATATGAGAGAGAAACTTTTTGGAGTTTTGCTGCATCAGATTAATAAAATGGTTATGGGAAGTATAAGTGAGGACTAAACCTAGATTTAAAAAAAATTTAAGGATTGGAGTTGTAAGTCTGCTCCTTTTCTATCTTTTTAAACGTTCCTTTCGTTCTTCCAGACAGGGTTTCCATTCCCAATCTCAAGACAATCTGACAATTTACAAGTCTTTTGGATCATCTAGACGTCCTTAACAATCAATGACCTCCAAGCCTTCAGAAAATCTGCTTCAACATGAAGGTCGGCGTCCACCTTTTTCCATTTCAGGTCTGATGTTTTTTTTGTGGCGACGTGGGATGCTCAAATTTAAGATGCTTGGGTTCCCGAGGTAGTTTACACTGGGTACTAAATAGTTCCCTCCTCCCCCCTCCATTCTTTGTGACCTGGCTTCCCATTTCATACACGATCTGTATCTACATGTTCCTGTTTCTCCAGCTCATCAGCAATGGTTTTTACCAAAACCCTTGCTCCCTTTCTGTAGCCCTTTTGTCACAAGGGTATTCTGATTATCGGATACTTGGAAGACCTTTTACTTCACGAACAGTTTCTTCTGACTCTGGAACTCGATGTTTCGACAGTACTGCGGACCTTAGAGAAGTTTGGGTGAATACTGAAAATTGAGAAGTTGTCCCTAGTTCCATTGCCTGTCTTGCAGTATTTGTTTTTTTTCTGTTGGATACCTTTCAAGCGAAGGTGTTCCTTCTTCAGGACAAATTGATGAAGTTACAGGATCAAGTTCCGTCCTGTCGCCAATCCTGTGAGAACCTTCATGAAAGTTCTGGGCTATTTTTACAGTGCGAGACAAGTCCCCTCTATGGCTGGACAAGATGATCAAATTGAGTGCCCAAGCCAGGATGTCTGTTGTGGTGGTTGACATCCCCTCGGTTGAGAACAGGTATCTTGTTTCTTCCTATGATTTGGAAGATTGTCACAACAGACGTCAGTCTTGTGGGATGGTGCAAGCTCTTGGTTCATCTGTTGTTGGTCTCCATAGGGAATTTAAGCTTCTGATCAATGTCCTGAAATTGATTTCTGTTTCTCTGGCATTGTTTCACTGAACCTGACTTCTCTCCTTGGTGTCTGATTGGGATTCAGTCAGACCATGCAACGGTTGTGGCCTATATCAATCACCAGGGAGGCACAAGGAGTGTGTCGGTGGCGACAGAAGTACATTCAATTTTGGATTGGGCAGAACTTTGTGTTCCCGCAATTTCAGTGGTGCACATCCCTGCAGTTGAAAACTGGTAGAGGTGGACTGCCTTCGCAGATAACGTCTGGATCTGGGCGAGTGGGCTCTTCATAAAGATGTGCATATTCTAGCTTTTTGTCACAACAAGGTGGACAGATTTATATCTAGAACAAGGGATCCGATGGCGGATGTCTTGAAAGCTCCGTGGGATCAATACACCCTGAGGCATGTTTTTCCTTCTATCCTACAACACTGACCAGGTAAGCGCATCACATCAGAGAAATCAAAGCAATTCCAATAATTCTCTTTGATCAAGATTGGCCTGACAGGATATGGTATGCCGATTTGATCCATCTGTTGACAGACAATCACTGGCTTCTTTCAGATCAGCCAGATCTATTATCTCTGAGACCAATCTTCCACCCTGCTTCTCAGTCGCTGGTAATAACGGCCTGGTTGTTGAAACCCAAGTGTTGAAAGACACAGGAATTTTCGATGCTGTTATTCAGACTATGCTTAAGGCTCTTAGATCTTTTACTCTAACAATTTATCACAGTATGTGGAAAGCTCATGCTTATTTGTTTAAGTCCTTGGGGTTTTCCCCACAGAGATATAGAGAGAGAGTGTCTTTCCTTTAACTTGGAGTCGATCAACGTTTAGCTGTCAGTGCCTTTAGGGGCCACATATATCAGCCTTGTCTGTCCTTCTTTCAATGTTCCCTCCCTTTTTAATTCTTTGATTCATACTTTTATTCCACTTTCTCTGTTGGACTTGAACTTGGTTTAGTCTATTATCCAAAAACGTTGCCTTTTTCGTGGCCATCTCGGCTAGAAGGGTTTCAGAGTTGTCCAGTTTGTCTTGTAGAGAACCATATTTGGTTCTTATGGACAATTTTGTTTTGAGTCCAAAGGTTTCTTTTTTACCCAAGGTGGTTTCAGCCTTTCAGTTAAGGAAGCTTCTCTCCCTTGTTTGGGTGTTTGTGTGGGCTCTTAGAGTTTATCAGCCACGGCTTCCTTTAGGCGTTCAAATTCTTGATTTTGTTCTACCAGAAGGTCCTAGAAAGGCTGTTCAGCTTCTAGATCCACTATTTCTTAGTGGATTTGTCAGGTTGTCCAAGCTTATGAGCTGCTGGGTAAGATACCTCCTATTCCCGTTTCTACTTATTCGACTAGGGCAATTAGTACTTCTTGGGCATTTCAAAATAAGGCTTATGTTTCTCAAATTTGCAAGGCCGCAACTTGGTCTTCTGTTCAAACTTTTGCAAAGTTTTATAAGGTTGTTGTGAAGGGGGAAGGTTTATGTCCTTAAAGTGGCAGGCCTTTTTTTTTGCCTAGTGTCCATTTTCTCCTGGCGGGAGCAGCATAACAAAATAATTTTACAGTAAGAACAAAATCCAATTTTTTTTTTCCTTATGGGGTCAGGGCCCCTTTGCATTGCAAGGGTTAAATTCCATTGCAGTGTGTGGCTTTGGGGCGGCTGTGCTGAATGCGGGTGGCTCAGGGGTGTGTGGAAGACCGGAAACCTTGTCGATCTTTGGCCGTGTGGGGCCCCTCTGGTGCATGGAGCAACTGTGGGCTTTTATATCATTCTGTGCCTTCCACCTCCTACTGCCTGATATTGGGCTATCGGTCCTCGCTCCTCTCTTTCCCCTTGGAGGATTGTTTGGGGGTGCTGCCCGGATGGGTCCGTTTTTGGATGCACACACATCAGCCTGCTTAATTGATATTCTCCATCTCCAGAAGAAGCGCTCTTTAGCGTGAAACGTTGAGAAAACCGTATATGACTCCTCCATCTCCAATCATCTTAAATGAATTTTGCACAATACCTGAATCATGTTATTACTTTATCTGTTCATCTAATCATGTATCCTTGAATGGGTTTTTTATAAATAGAGTGAGTCTCTCAGGAGATATCAGATCAGCTGGTTTCTCCTACACAAATGTACTGTATATGAACTGAATACTTTTTAAAATCTAATTTATTAAAGACCCTTTTTTATTTCTAATTGTCTTGGAGTTGTCATTTGGTGCCTAAAAAAACCCCACCCATCTTTTTCTTTAAATTATTTTCAGGGGTGTGGCACCCACTACTCAGGGGGTGCCCGGCCATAAACGCAATTGTACGATGAAGGGTTAAATTCTTATGTCTAGGGGATACTAAGGTGTAAAACTTCAAGGTTTTGCTCCTGGTTGTGGGCAGGCCCTCGTCATCCTCGCGTGCAGTGCTGGACCATTTGTCCGTCATTCTACATGATGACGTTGTCGTGCAACTGCTTTCTGTAGCACCTTGGGGAAGGAGGCTTCAGGGGACTGGTTGCATATCATGGAGGAATGCAAACCTTATTCCTCTATCCCTAGAATTATCAATCATTTAACTTTTGCAGTGTGAGAGTGCCCACTGGGGATTGTGAAGGGATCCCTTTCCTTTTAACATAAAGTGAGCGTTACAGTAAACAATACTAATTTAACCCCTTCATGACTGAGCTTGTTTTTAGTTTCTGTTCGTAAATGACTGACACACTTTTGACATTTTTGCTGTGTGATTCTTCCACGTCAGTAATATACTTTCTTACAAAGTGCACCCACACATATTATATATTGTTTTTTAGAGGACAGATAGGGCTACATATTTATATCACATGTGCGTCTAACGCCTCACTTAGGACAAATAAAATATAAAAAAAGAGGAAAAAACCGTTTAAAAAAAACACTTTTTTCCCAGTTTTGATTTGTAGTATTTTTTTTACAAAACCAGCACAGCTAAAAAAATGCAATAAATACATTCATTTATTTGTCCCTTATTTTATTTTATTTTTTACACATTTTTTTATTTTTTTTACACTTTTCACAATTTTTTTTTTTTTTTACACTTTTCACTTTTTTTTTTAACTTAAAAATGTTATTTTATTTATTTAATTATATCAAGCAGATTTTGTGAATTAATCTCACTGTTACTGCATGATAAATTAATAAATTTTTGGTTATTATCAGGCTGCTTCAAACTTCAGAACAGCCGATAATAAGTTAGTGACACTGATCCTGCAGCAGTTCAGGATTCAGCTGTTACTAAATGTTTTCTGATTGTTGCAACAACGATCAGCAAACAAACATTCTTCTTCCAGGAATAGATACATTGTAGGAATAGACACATTTTGTATCTATTCATGAAAAAAAAAAAAAAAAGCCAGTATAGCTTGAGAGAGATATCTCTCGATCTATACGAGCTGTCAGAATGCCGGCAAAAGCCGGCATCTGTGTCCGCTTTGCTTTGACTCTCAGACACCCGATATTAAGGTATCGGGTGTCTGAAAAAGGTTAACCCTTTCATTAATTAATGCCTCTGTAGTAAGGGCAGCCATTAATGAATGTTAAAAGCTGATTCTCAGCGATTAACAGCCCTCTAAAGCAGCAAATAACTTGTCACGTACAGTGTACGTGACAAGTCATTTGGTCCCTTTGTGGCTGGACGTACAGTGTACGTCTCCCGTCACGAAGGGGTTAAGCTTGGAAAACCAACAGTCCACATTTTAAAGTCATTTTTTAAAATCTGATTATTGCCTGATGCTTGCACTGTGTTAGAAATGCAGCGATAGCATGGATGTGCTAAGAGCTCACCTTTTTTTTAACAGCTTGAGCTTTCTCCTGAGCATGAAGTCATGCGAAAATACCATGTCTACATTGTGACATGTTGAAGTTTGCCAGAAGGAATCTTAGTTTTATCCTGTACATCACGTATTATCACAAATGCTTTATCTAGTCATGCAGAGTTTATAGGCCGTACTAGTTTTATTTGATTTGGATAGATGCTTGATTTTAACCGGTGAATGCAAATGTTCCAGGCAATCGCTTTATATTGGAAGCCTGTAATGTTTTGTGTAAACTCATCACAGGATACCAGGTTTCTGAATAATTTGTCATATAGAACATTGGTGGAATTATATTTTGTCCATCCAAAAAATGGCACTCGGGGTTGTTTAGTGTGTGTGTGTGTGTGTGTGTGTGGTCACACTCCAGAAGGAAGGACAGTGTCAGCGGTCACACTCCAGAAGGAAGGACAGTGTCATCACCAATTCAGGGATGATTGGAGGATCTACAGTTGAGAGCTATTGACTGGTATACTGCTATACAATACTGTCAAGATCCACCCAGCTGGCAGATAGGCAGAGTCAGCTGTCTAGAGGCAGAGCAAGCTGTGCTCACCACCTCCCTGTCCATTCCTCCAGTCGGAGCTGGAGGATAAGAGAGGGGAGGGGGGGAATCCCTGCAGGGAGCCATGACTGACGGTCACCACTATCTGCAGGGAGATGATCGGACAGTGATCGAGCAACGGTATGTGTTCGCTCACTTCCCAATCAATAGAGCTGACCTGTTACTGTTTCATTGTCAAACGTCGGCTCCAACTATGAGGATGAGTTAAAATCACTTGCCTCATAGTTCTCAATGTCTGCGTTTAGTGTCACTTAAGTTATTCTGACTTTAGTTCTAAACTAGTGTTTTGTCGAGCTGTTAACAGCTTTTACCAGAACTTGGAGTTTTTCAGCTTCAGAGCTCATCCACGCTGCGGTGGTGTGTTTTGTGCATGGTACCGCGGGATTAACACACGTTACCCCGCAACACACCTATCATTTTGTTACAGTGCAGCAGGTGCATTGCCATTTGATTTGAATGGCGCCCCAGCGCACTTCCTGGCCGAAGTCGCTCCACCATAGTGCAGAGGACAGTACTGTAATACAGGAAAATAAAGTACTGCAGTAGCACTATAAGGCAGTTTGCATGAATTTGCCTTTGCAAATTTCGAGGGATCCCTTTTTCCCATAACGTCTTCCAGGACAGCATCACGAGATGGAATCTCCTCCCCCACACACAGGAAACACGTCACTTAATCTGTTTAAAAGACCCTCCTCTCCTCCACTCCCTCAGTCTTTTGTGTTTCCTCAGTCAAGCTGGGGAGCGCGTCACAGAACGCTGAGAGAGGGCTTCCATGTGGTGATGCTGCCCGGGAAGTCTTCCTTGTTGGCCTGCCTGTGTAAGGCAGAGGGGTAGGTTTGCCTACCTTGTGGAGCCCCAGGGATTCTCCTAGCGCTGCAGGAGATGAGGCTGGCTTCCTTTCCCCCTTCAGTGCCCAGTGCGGGCCGGTATAGGTCTGTTTTATATGAAGAGGTGACATCATAATACAGAAATTAAAAGCTAGCATTGATATGACGACTCTTGGGAAAAGCGGTGAAATGTATCTAAAGACAAAACGTTTTGCTTGGAAGGGTTAGAGTCCTTGTCAGGTTTCTGACTTTGTCCCCAGTAGGGAGATTCCCCCCCTCTGTTTATCTCTGTGACTATTGTCATGTGCACAGGATTGGAAATTTTCTCCTGTATACTTATTCTGGATTTCCTATCACTTTAAGTGGTGTAGTCTTTACGCTATAGACTTGTTTCTATTAATTACTATTTCAGGCATTAGCCTTTTTAACAATGAGAGGCAAATCTAGCACGTCCGAGAGTTCTATAATGTGATGGGTTTTTTTTGTTTTACATTTTTAGGTGTTTTAGTATTGTTTCTCGGATCTTGGAGACTTGCTAATCCGTTGCCATTCTGACCTAGGGAATGTTACATTTTTCTTTTTAAGAAACGTTGATGTAAATGTGTAGCAGTAGAGAAATGTTTTTAGAACTTTTTTAAATTAAAGCAACATTGTGTGTGTGTAGTTTTTTTTTTAGTTTAATTTCCCTGTCTTTTAGATTACAGACACAAAGCTACTGAAGTAAAAAACATGCCGATGCTGGAACATGACCTTACGTATCCAGTGTTGCCAATATTAAATAGCAGAGAAAAGGTAAGCTAAAGTTCCTTTCTGATGACTTTGTACAGTCTCTTGATTTTGAATAGTGTTACGAAACTACACCTGTCAATTTGTTTGTGGCAGTGGCTGCCCATGAGAGATAATACAGCAGTTTAACAAGATTATCTGCCCTGTGTACACAGTCCACTTTATGTTCTGATTTGAATGGCAGGATTCTCTGCTCCATATTGCTGAAGTTTGGGGGCCGCGGCAAATATATATATATATATACGCCATTTAACCAGCCAAAAGATTTGTATTTCTGTCTGTGATCCTCAGAAATGCACAACACTGCAAGATAACTCAGCCCTGTCTGGCAGGATACAAAGTTTTTTTTTTTTTTTTTATTCCTTTATTTTCAGTTCACGCACACATTTCTTTTCCCTCCTCCTACCTGCGACTCAACAATCAAAGGAGAGGCAGAATACTCAATTGCTTCTCTCTCCTCTCCCTCTCCTCATTTTTTTATTGTTACACAAGCGCTGTAGAACAACTCAGTAGCTCCTTGTGCTGCTACTCGTATTGCCAGTCTGAGCTCTGCTGTACAGTGCTATTTGCTGATAGCAAGCCATATTTATGTACCTTTTTGATGCCTAAATCCAAAAATAAATTTAATGATGCGTTAATGAATTCAGGGCTGCATTAGTCTTTTTTTTTTTTATCTGCCCAGAGTTGAATTTTAAGGCAAACCTCAGTATACTGTTTAGGCCACTTTAAAAAGTGGGTAAGGTAGCATTTTGGGGCAAGTCTAGGAGAGCAGTTATGTTTACACACAATTGCCTGCTCTGCATCACAAATACATAACAAAGCACTCAAAATGAATATGAAGAGTTTGTCATGTGTAACATGAAGTTACCTCACTATATATGCACGTTAAAATTGAGTTCCTGATTGTATACATACAGTTTATTTCAATTTCAACTTTTTTTATAATAAAAGTCTGTTTCATAATTACAGTTAATCACTCTTATTGAGTGCAATTCTGTGGTGATTATACAAGGTGCAACTGGCAGTGGCAAAAGCACTCAGCTGCCACAGTACATCCTGGATCATCACATGCAGCATTCTGCATACTGTAACATTGTGGTGACACAGCCCAGAAAAATTGCTGCATGCAGTATTGCCACGTGGATTAGCAAAGAGAGGAAATGGCTTTTGAGCGGCTTAATCGGTTATCAGGTAAGACTTTATTATTGATATGGAATTTGTTTTCTTTCCAAAGTATTAATACGTAACAAAGGGAAAAGTAAAGGATTTGGGTCCATTTTATTTAAGCAAACTCCATCAAAAAAAAAGTTTAGAACCCAATAATAGTTTAAAAAAAAAAAAGCTCACCTTTTGGTCTGGAGCTACCCTTGCAGCATTTCTTTTCCACCACTAGATATTCTCTGTCTTCCGAGTTGAATGATTGTCATTTGTGGTTTAACCCATTTCCTCCAAGCCCAGGCTGTTATGGACCCTGCCCTCTGGAGCAGTGTTATACACAACTTTGTCATTTTTATGTTGCATGATACTTGAACAAATGCTTCTCAAACTTATATTTTAGGTTAAAAAAATGCACTAGTATTTATTCTAGGGCAAACAAACAAAAATAAAACCCACATTTGTTTGCTAAATGTAAAATATTGGATTGTGTGAAGTAAAATAGCATTTTTTGCACTTGGCGTAAATCCTTTTCTTGGGAGTCCATTGACGGACACAGTAATTTGCCTTTGGGTTGTACTGCCACTTAGAGGAGGATTGGACACTGACAAACAAAAGGCCAGCCCAGGATAATGCCTTCCACTACCAGCATGCCACAGTTTTGTGCATAGCAGTAGCAAAAGCATGCGTCTCTTAATGGAATCCAAGAAAAGGATTTTATGGCAAGTGCAAAAAAATCTGTTTTTAGTTTCTGGTACATTCAGGGACACGAAGTCATTGACCTTCGGGGTTTCCATAAGCGGTCCAATGGAGGTGTAGGTAACAATGCAAACAAATGCTAACATGCTCAAGAAAACGGACAACTGACTGCAGTTTAGAGACCTGCCTGATGGAGTTTTCTGCCCGACGTTGCCATCCGTGAGGCCGAAACATCCACCTGGTAGAACTCGGAGAATCTGGGAGCCTTACAAATCTTGATCAAAGATTGATTGAATTTATTTTGATTTTTTTTTTTTTCCATAGGTAGGGTTGGAGAAGAAAGCCAGCTCAGACACACGTTTGAGCTATGTGACAACTGGTGTTCTTCTGCAGAAAATAGTTGGGGCGAAGAGCCTGGCAGAATTTACCCACATTGTTATTGACGAGGTAAATTTTTGGTATCTCTATACAGATAATTATAACACTGTTGTCCCCTGCATCTTTCCCAGACTGGCAGAGGGATTAGTAGAAGGCAGGACCTTGGTGGAGATAGGAAATTGTGACATACCAGCAAGGTATGTTAATAGAGAGCTATGAACAAACCTTTTTTGGCATTCGTTTTATTTTGGGTCACAGGAGGGCATTTGCTAATGTCCTCTTGTGAGCCAAAATTATGCAAATAGCGGCCATTGCTGACGATGCAGAGCCGTGCTGCAGTCGGTAAAGATACCGACAATATTGTCGGGATCCATCTCGCTACCTGATTGACAGCTGTCTCTGCCTCTTTAGTGCCAGAGCCAGCTGTGCCTTATCCTTCCCATTCTGTCACCCCAGTCAGCGCCGGAGGAGCAGAGAGGGGAGGGGGGAAATCTTTGCAGTGATCGATTACTGACAGTCCCCACTCTCGGCAGGGAGAAAATTGGCAACTGAGTGATCAGCGATTTGTGATCACTCCGTTCTTTAGTTATAGACCCGACGTGTGACCGCTTCAGTGTCACATGTTGTTTCTAACTACGGGATGAGTGCAATTCACTCTCCCCATTATTCTCCTTTTTAAAAAGAAGAAAAAAATGTGCAACACCTACGGACGCTTATTAAAGGCAAAAGAAAATAACAGAATGGTACTGGATGCTTTTCACCTAGATGCAGAGAAAGCCTTAACGTAAACGCCCTGTCTTTAGTAATACCCTGTTTTATTGCCAAGGGCAACATACATCTGTTTTTTTAGAGAACCGG